CCCCAAAACCCCAAAACCCCAAAACCCCAAAACCCCTAAATTCAAAAAAGTTTATTAGTAAGAAAGTAGGTACATAAATTACATTAAGGATATTAAAGTGAATTAAAATGGCTGAATCAATCAAAGTTGTTGTCAGATTTAGAGGGAATGAAGAGGTACTTAGAATTAAGTTTTATATTTTTATTTTGATGATAGGATAGTAATCAATATGCATAAGGAACTGGCTGGTAAATTGATCCTGATGAAAGAACTCTCAGAGTCCCTTCCACATACTTCACAAATAAGGGTTAAAGTAAAGATGATTCAACAGCCAGTACTTTTACTTTTGATCATGTTCTTGACTAAAATGTCTCACAAGAAAAAATGTATAGGTCAGTAGCACTAGAGACAATCTAACAATTCATGAAAGGTAAATGATTATTATTCAATGAATCATAGGTTACAATGGAACTATATTTGCATACGGTTAGAGTGGGTCTGGAAAGACATTTTCAATGCTTGGGCCAGATGAAGTTGTAGAAGTTATCAAAAAAGGTGCTGGGTAGAAAAACCAAGTTGTCCCTATTGAAGTTTAGGCCCTCTATGGTATCATTCCAAGAGCTATATTTGATATTTTCAAAGAAGTTAATAAGCAGATAGAATTATATAACTCCTAATTTGAGATCAGAATTAATTACTTTGAAATTTATCAAGAATCTTTAAACAATTTACTGGCGACAAATCCAGCTGCATAAACAGGTTTAAAGATAAGAGAGTAGAAAAATGGATCCATTGTTATTCTTAATTGCGATCCGGTCTATGCTACTTGCCCGGAAGATATTTTTTAGATATTAATGGTTGGCTAGAGAAATAGAGCAATAGCTTCGACAAATTAGAATGAGAGAAGTTCTAGAAGCCATACAATAGTTGTAATAGAATATACCTAGAATAATCCTGATGGATCCATGAAAACTGCAAAGCTAAATTTAGTTGATCTTGTAAATTTTTTTCAACTAACTAATTTAATAGGCTGGTTCAGAGAGAATTTCTAAGACAGGGGCAACAGGAAAGACATTAGAAGAGGCTAAGGTAAATATTAAATGATCATTTTATATTAAATATTAGAAAATCAACTTGAGTTTGACTACACTTGGTATCTGTATTAAAAGTTTAACTGAGGGAAAAACACACGTACCATTCAGAGATTCTAAATTGACTTTCTTCTTGAAAGAATCACTTGGAGGTAACTCGAAGACAACCTTAGTATGTACTGCTAGTAAAAAGAAAGTTCACGTTGAGGAGTCAGTTCAAACATTAAATTTTGCTTAGAGAGCTAAGAAAATTAAGAATAAAGCAGTTTCCAATGTTATCGTAATAATAGACTCAATAATAAATGTTGTAGAAAAGTCCAAAGGAGCTTGAATAGCTCGTTTAGAAATTAAAATTGGAAGTTTAAGCATTAAAGCTTCAACTAACTGAGCAAGGTATAAATCCAAGACTGTCAATTTATCCTATGGTTGATCAGATTCAATTCTAATCAGAACAGGAGTCGACTGCCGATTTGTCTACTTTACTAGATATGTCACTTTCATCAACCAATCTAAACATGCCTTAGATGAGTGAATAAGCAATCATAAGATAGAGTATGGATATCAATCATCAACTATTGTTGAGAGGTAGTAGAGATATAGCTGCTGATGGGTAAGATCTTTAGTTAAAGTTAACTGAAATACAAAATGAATATGAGCATTATAAGGAATATGCAGACACAAAAATTATGGAATAAAAAGATTAAATCGACAGGATGGCATAATAAAATGAAAGCAAAGAAGAGCTGATGAATAAGATTTAAGCATAATAGTATCTATTGCAAGATTTAGAAGATGAAATTAAGAAGCACAGAAAAAGTTGGGAAAAAGAAAGAGCTTCATTACAAAATCAAATTCAGAGTCTCGATAATCACCTTTAGGCCAAAGATCTTATATTCTAAGATTTGGAGTAAAACAACGAAGAACTTAGGTTGAAGTTAGAGATGTCTGGATTTAACATTTTTGACAAGATCAAGAAAAAGATCTTCCACGACAATATTCAAAATTAAATTAAACAAATTGAAAGTTTTCATGACAGAAATGCTATCGAAGGCATTATTAAAGAGCTAGAAATACTTGATCCTAAATATAGTGATCAAGAGTCAAGAATATTTAAGCTATAAGATGAAAATATGAAGTTAAAAACAAGAATTTAACAAATGGAGTTCTTTGGAGTTCAGCAGGACCCTGCAGTCGGTAATGGCAATATGATGCAATAGTCTCCGGATTAAATTAACACAAACAATGAAACATTCAGTCAAACTGAGATAATGTCTCTGCATAGTTAAGAAAATCTCTCTGATTACCATTCAAGTTCCCAGTTATTCCAGTAAAATCTTTAAAACTTATCGTCTAAAACTCCAAGATCTTCCTAGAAAAGTAAACCCACTGGCAAGAAAACAGTTAAAGAGAGTTCAAGGCATTCGTAATCAATCCAAAATTAAAGTTTTAATAGCATCAGCTATAGCAGCACTTATACTAAAGGTTAATCATTTTTTAGAGCCACTTATCATTAAAGTAAAGCTATTACCTCTTAACTAATGGAAATAACTCTCGATAATTTCAAGCTTCTTTAAATGAACAATAAGTTAATTGGATATATCAAGTCATTATCTAATACTAAAGATACTACAATCAATGATTTAAAGCAAAAGGGAATTTTAATTGAACAAGAGATTTAAGATCTATAGTTCTAAAAGTAATTTTTAGAGCAGGCGATATTCGAAAAGAGACAAGCAAGGCCAGATTTTTAGCTTTAAGAATAATGTAAGAAATAGTAGGAGTAAATCAAACTCTTAACATTGGAAGCCACACAATATAAGGCAAAATGTATAGACCAGGAAGAAGAAATAAGACAACTTAAAAAGCTAAGTTAAGATATGAAGAAGGAGAAGAATTTGAACTTGCTGGAGTAAGCTAAAATTATTCGAGACAGTGTCAGATAAATTATTTAGAAACAGAAGTTGCAAAAGCCTAATAATAACAACTTTTTCAGAGGTGGTAGGGGTATTATCACTTCTAAGGTTAATATCAATGATGATCTACTGTCATAGACAAACATTGTTGAAGATGATGATGAATAGAAGCTGATTTAAATGCAGTAGCAAGAATTATTAGACTAATAAGATCCTGAGAAATTAAAGAATCCACCTGCAATAAAGCGTGGTGCTGTCATGAATACCTTCAATTTTGTTAGAGATGCAGACAATAATGGTGGACGCTAGGAATTTAACTAATCTCATTAGCTTATGAAGTAATCTGTTGATATGACTATTTAAAGCTAGATTTAATCAGGCATAGGAGGTGGTATTGGTCCATTAGGCTAGAGAAAGAGCATGCTGGGTGGTGTGCATAAACAGACCATAAACGATATTATTTAAATGGCTAATCCAGATCATGATAGTGTGATCAAGTCATTCCATGGGATGGGTGCAGCTCAGAGCTATCTTGGAGAATTGGATGATATGCTCAATGATACTGACGATGATGAAGATGAAGACGAAGATGATGAAGAAGAAAAGAAAAATGACAACTGACTATGAGAATAATTCTTCTTTATATAGAGGAGTAATTTCTAAATTAACTAAAGTTAATTACCTATATTTAATTTCCATTAATTTATTATATTATTTAAAAGACTAATATCCATTTTAAATACTCAACAAAGAATATATTATAATTTAATTCAAGAAAGATCATAAATCATTCATTATCATTTGATGACTGAATTCTCATCTCTTTTGAAGTAGTAAAGTCCAAGAGAGAATGAAAATGCCTGAACAGGATTAAAGGGATATCCAAAGTCTAAAATATACACATCGTCTGCTATCTTTCCATGCTGCAGGACTACTCTAAGTTTATCATCCTTCTTAAATTTTTACTCCTATTTGAATAGAAATTATTAGAATTAGATAATTACAATTTGAATGTTTTTTCTAGAAGCTTTCTTAACTCTTCCATTGAAATTCAAACTCAAACTTCTTTCAAATTTCTTAAAATGAGGTTTCCTTGCTCTCAAAAAAATCCTGTCGTCTGTCTTATTCATATCTAATCTCTTTCCATCTAAAGCTTCTTTTAAAGACCCCTTATATTCTGGATTGTTCATTATTTCATGTAGCTTTTCTGGTTTTCCATCATACATACTGAATGATCGTTTTTCTCTTCGCTTAATTTCTTATGGGCACCAAGATTGCATCTAATAATTCGCCTTTATCAAAGGTAGACATAAAAAGGCAAACGTGTATTTAATATGCGTCTTAGGAGCAATATCTTCATCTCTCTCTATAGTTATAAAATAACCAATATGTTACTATGAAATAATAGCCTAACTCCTATTGAAACAGCCACTACTTATTATCATGGCAAAAATACTACGGACTCTTTGAGCATAAAGTGCAATACTTATTCTTTATGATAAACTACTTTTTCTTTCTATTAAAAATGACCTTTGCAACATGAGAATCTTCTTTAAATAGAGGTTTATTCTTTTCCTCATTCACTAGATATATTCTGAATTCATTTAGCTTTGGCAAAAACTTAGCCATCATTTGGAATCTATGGCTCTTATCTTGAAAGTCTCTACCACTATACATGTAATAAGTGTGTGTTTTCTTATCTCTATGGATGAAGTTTTGATTCAATCCTTTTTCTTCAATTTCCTTCCTAACACTATAAAACATAATCACAAACTATGATGAAATTTACTCATATATGCTTGAGGAATACTCATGATACTATCCAGATTCAAGAGCATCTAATTATGCCCAATTCTCTTGAAACTTTTACTCAAATTAAAATTATTCAGAACTTTCATCATTATTTTGAGTAGACAATCCAATTAGGCTCTTTAGAGTGTTCATTTTAATATTAAAAATAATTATTAACGTATTAAATTAAAATTAAAATGGGTTCAGCTTGTGCAACTTGCTATGGTGATGCAAAAGATAAAAGTGATAAGGATGAATTTAGTACAACAGATCCAAGGGTAATGTTCAATATTTTACTTCGTATTATTTTTAATTTTAACTTTACAAAATCTTAATATGTTTCTTGATAGATGGCAAATAAATCTAAATTTACTGATAATGGTCTGAATGATAAAATAGATTTTCAGAATATGTAGAACAATTAAAATCTATTCAAGAAAAACTTAAAAAGTATTATAAAGCTTTAAGCTTGGTGGAGAGGAGCAAATGTATGAAGACAATTGGCTTACTAACCTTAAGCTGATAACAGTAGCATGCAAAATTACAATGGGCATAATAGGATTAATTCAATAGATCATTAAAACGCACTTTCACATGACAGAAGTGAGGTAGTCTTCAAGAATGGTGCAGTTTACAAAGGTCAGTGGGTAGGCCAGAAAAAGCAGGGTTTTGGGGTTTAGGTATGGCCTGATGGAGCAAGATATGAAGGCTACTGGGTTAATAATAAAGCATAAGGCAAGGGAAAGTTTTGGCATGTGGACGGAGACACCTTTGAAGGAGAATGGTATGATGATAAGGCAAATGGCTATGGAGTTTATACTCATACGAATGGCGCTAAATATGAAGGTTACTGGAAGGATGATCTTCAACATGGTAAAGGTAAAGAAGTATGGGCAGATGGATCTCGCTACGAAGGAGAATATCTGGAAGGGAAAAAGCATGGCTTTGGGTTTTATGTTTGGGCTGATGGCAGTACATACGAGGGCCAGTGGATTGATAATAAAATTGATGGGCAGGGTAAATACATTTGGATCGATGGAAGATAATACGAAGGATCTTGGAAGTCAAACAACATGCATGGGTACGGAATTTACAGTTGGAAAGACGGTAGGAGATACGAAGGTCAGTACGAGCTAGATAAGAAACATGGATATGGAGTATATGTCTGGGCTGATGGTCGTAGATATGAAGGAAATTGGTACAATGGAAAACAGCATGGAGAGGGCAAATATTTTCTTCCAGATGGCACAGTAAAAATTGGCATTTGGGAGCATGGAAAGAGACTTCAATGGATCGATGAATAAGCCCCTGAGAGTGATAATAAACAAGAGAGCTCTACAAGGTAACACATTTGATAGTACAAGAATTGTTATGATAGATGATATATATGTTTGCAATTTTATCTTTATATCTTAACACATATAATATTTTCCCTTATCTCTTATCAACGAATCATACTGCTATTTAGGGGTTTTGGGGTTTTGGGGTTTTGGGG